ACTTATATTGGGGGTGGGGGTCTGATGGATCCCCCATAGCCTTTCTCTTTCTGACAGTGTGGGTTGAATGGGTTATAGGGGGGGGGGGGGGGGGGGCATAGCCTACCTACCATGTATGTAGGGCAGGGTAAGGGGGGGGGGGGGGGGGGGGGGTGAGAACCCCTGGCCTACGCCTCTCTCATGGTTACTATAGTGACAGGCTAGCTGAGCCCAGTACAAGGCTTGAGAAAACTAGCACATCCAGTTAACACATGGTCTCCACTTATAACCCCGACACACACACACTCTCTGACCTGTCCACTCTCTCCCCATGGACTGTTTACATTCTGACAGACTGAAGGAAACACGTAGCAGAACACTGAACCTCTGATCCACTAGAGCAGGGTTGCCCAACCCTGTTCCTGGAGAGCTACCCTTCTGTAGGTTTGGCTCCAACCCCAGGTGTTACTAACCTGATTCATCTTATCAACCTGCTAATTATTAGAAGCAGGTGTGCTAGATTAGGGTTGGAGCAAAAACCTACAGGACGGTATCTCTCCAGGAACAGGGTTGGGCAGTCCTGCACTAGAGGCTTTATACCAGGGTTCTTCAATTCTGGTCCTGGAGGGCCGAAACACTTCTGTTTTTTATTTCTACCTGGTAGTTAATTGCACTCACCTGGTGTCCCAGGTCTGAATTAGCCCCTGATTAGAAGGAGAGGATGAAAAACAGAGGTGTCTCGGCCCTCCAGGACCGGAATTGAAGAACCCTGCTTTATACAGTGCTGATTTTGTACGTTTGCCCACTGACAAAGACATGATCAGTCTATAATTGTAATGGTAGGTTTATTTGAACAGTGAGAGACAGAATTAACAACAAACACAGGAAACGTATGATCTCTGTAATTGCAAACAAAGGTTTCTGTACCAAATATTAAGTTCTGCTTTTCTGATGTATCAAATACTTATGTCATGCAATAAAATGCAAATTAATTACTTAAAAATCATACAATGTGATTTTCTGGATTTTTGTTTTAGATTCCATCTCTCACAGTTGAAGTGTACCTATGATAAAAAATTACAGACCTCTACATGCTTTGTAAGTAGGAAAACCTGCAAAATCGGCAGTGTATCAAATACTTGTTCTCCCCACTGTATACAGGCCCGTCTGAAGTTTACCAATGAACATCTGAATGATTCAGAGGAGAACTGGGTGAAAGTGTTGTGGTCAGATGAGACCAAAATGGAGCTCTTTGGCATCAACTCAACTCGCCGTGTTTGGAGGAGGAGGAATGCTGCCTATGACCAAGAACACCATCCCCACCGTCAAACATGGAGGTGGAAACATTATGCTTTGGGGGTGTTTTTCTGCTAAGGGGACAGGACAACTTCACCGCATCAAAGGGACGATGGACGGGGCAATGTACCGTCAAATCTTGGGTGAGAACCTCCTTCCCTCAGCCAGGGCATTGAAAATGGGTCTTGGATGGGTATTCCAGCATGACAATGACCCAAAACACACGGTCAAGGCAACAAAGGAGTGGCTCAAGAAGAAGCACATTAAGGTCCTGGAGTGGCCTAGCCAGTCTCCAGACCTTAATCCCATAGAAAATCTGTGGAGGGAGCTGAAGGTTTGAGTTGCCAAACGTCAGCCTCGAAACCTTAATGACTTGGAGAAGATCTGCAAAGGGGAGTAGGACAAAATCCCTCCTGAGATGTGTGCAAACCTGGTGGCCAACTACAAGAAACGTCTGACCTCTGTGATTGCCAACAAGGGTTTTGCCACCAAGTACTAAGTCATGTTTTGCAGAGGGGTCAAATACTTATTTCCCTCATTAAAATGCAAATCAATTTATAACATTTTTGACATGCGTTTTTCTTGATTTTTTTGTTATATTCTGTCTCTCACTGTTCAAATAAACCTACCATTAAAATTATAGACTGATCATGTACAAAATCAGCAGGGGATCAAATACTTTTTTCCCTCACTGTATCTAAACCACCAGGGTTACAACAGAACACTGGACCTCTGATTCACTAGAGGCTTTATATCTAAACCACCAGGGTTACAACAGAACACTGGACCTCGATTTCAGCGCCAATCAAGATAGTTTTGCTTGTCTACAAAATTGAAACACTTGAAGTTAAGTGTTAAGAACTCAATGTCATTAAGTTTTTGTAAGGTTTGTTTCAGTTTATTTTCAAAACTATCAAATTGCCATATATTTAAATCCTCAGAGAGAGAGAGAGAGAGAGAGAGTGTTAAAGATAAATGTAGACTGATGGAGATGTTATAGTGGATGTAGACAGGACTGAACCCTGTGTTACAATCACTCACTCTGTCTGCCTGTCTGTCTGTTGTTGTCTCTGTCTGTGCCTGTCTGTCTGTCTACAGGGTTTAAGACTGATAACACTCACACACACAACTCATGACCCTGACCCCAAAACCTGTGGGCCCTTGCTGGGTACACACACACACACACACACACACACACACACACACCCTATTCTGTCTGCAGACTGCTGATAAGTGGAGGGATATCAGTATGGTGTGTTCAGGAGAAGTGGAGGGATATCAGTATGGTGTGTTTAGGAGAAGTGGAGGGATATCAGTATGGTGTGTTCAGGAGAAGTGGATGGATATCAGTATTGTGTGTTTAGGAGAAGTGGAGGGATATCAGTATTGTGTGTTTAGGAGAAGGAGGGATATCAGTATCGTGTGTTCAGGAGAAGTGGAGGGATATCAGTATTGTGTGTTCAGGAGAAGTGGAGGGATATCAGTATGGTGTGTTTAGGAGAAGTGGAGGGATATCAGTATGGTGTGTTTAGGAGAAGTGGAGGGATATCAGTATTGTGTGTTTAGGAGAAGTGGAGGGATATCAGTATCGTGTGTTCAGGAGAAGTGGAGGGATATCAGTATGGTGTGTTCAGGAGAAGTGGATGGATATCAGTATTGTGTGTTTAGGAGAAGTGGAGGGATATCAGTATCGTGTGTTCAGGAGAAGTGGAGGGATATCAGTATGGTGTGTTCAGGAGAAGTGGAGGGATATCAGTATGGTGTGTTCAGGAGAAGTGGAGGGATATCAGTATCGTGTGTTTAGGAGAAGTGGATGGATATCAGTATGTGTGTTTAGGAGAAGTGGAGGATATCAGTATGGTGTGTTTCAGGAGAAGTGGAGGGATATCAGTATGGTGTGTTTAGGAGAAGTGGAGGGATATCAGTATGGTGTGTTCAGGAGAAGTGGAGGGATATCAGTATTGTGTGTTTAGGAGAAGTGGAGGGATATCAGTATCGTGTCTTCAGGAGAAGTGGAGGGATATCAGTATCGTGTGTTCAGGAGAAGTGGAGGGATATCAGTATCGTGTGTTTAGGAGAAGTGGATGGATATCAGTATGGTGTGTCTAGGAGGAGAAAGCTCTGAGAGGTTGGACCTTGAAGACGCTGTTATTGACTGAGTGTGCGTGTGTGTCCAACAGAGAGAAGTGTGCTTCTCACGAGCGGGAAGGAAAGGGGGAGGTGAGAAGGAAGGAGAGAGGGAGGAGGGAGGGAGAGAGGAGGGGAGGAAGGAATGTGTGTTCCATTACAGAAGGTTCTGTGGACAGCCGAAGTGTTCTGTCTGTCAGGGTGTTTGAGAAGAGCCAGGTGACAGCATGGATAACAGGAGAAATATAGCTCTGAGGGATGTGTGTGTGTGTGTGCGTGCGTGCGTGTGTGTGTGTGTGCTCCGTGGGCCAGGTCAGGGGTCGTGGTGTGTAACTATTTAAGATCAGACCAGTCAGTCACTCCTGTTAAAGTAGGATTAGGCTACGTCCCAAATGGCAGCCTATGCCCTAGGTAGTGTGCTACTTTTGACCAGGGTCTATAGAGATTCTGTTTCAGTTTACTTGTACGTGCTGTGTACTGCATTTCAGCTTTAAGCTGCCAAGTTAAGTACAGCCTACAATGTAATACTTCTACCTCTGTGTTGCTGCTCTTTGGGGGTTTTAGGCTGGGTGTCTGTAAAGCAACAACTGCTGATGTAAATAGGGCTTGGGAAAAATACATTTGATTGATTGATTGATTGATTGATAGATAAACTACTGCTGCTACATTTAGGACTCCCACTATAGCCGTAGAGCAGCACTAGTCTTCAGACATCTCTGACTTTAGGTATAGTGTGTTATAGTGTGTGTATAGTGTTTTATGTGTTTATAATTGTGTTATGTGTAATAATTGTGTTATGTGTTCATAATGTGTTTATAGCCATAATAATATATCACAGACAATATATTTATTATACATGTTTATAACCTTTCTAGAGTTAGAGACAATGGAATAGAATGACGTGTGTGACAGAGTGGAGGTGGTATGTGTTGGTATTTCTCTAAATGTGTTACATTGCTGAAGCTGTCCGGGGGAATGTGACGAGTCAGTTACACGGTTGAGGTTCCGACTGTTTTCTCACGGGAAAAGCGCTCCAGAACCAAGGGGGCGTTTGGTGTGAGTAGCTGTCGGTCAGAACAGATGGAGAGCAGAGGCTTCTTCTTTAGTTTCCAGAAAATAGACGTTGGGTCCCTCCAATCTAGACCTATGCCTATTACTAAATGGCTATTTAGAATCAAAATAAATAAAGCAAACACTTACACATCGGTGCTATATTATCTCAAAACCGTTAAGCTACACATCGTAGGCAATTACGCATGAGTTTGTTGATTTTTATTACTGTAATATATCGGTGCACGTGGTCACTGTTTCTCACCTGCGCCGGGGCTGTATGAAGGTATTTTGAATGTGTTCGTGTGCACATGCGTGTGACTGATTGGATATTTACTCCTCTGCAACATGACGCTGATGTAGGCTATCTTCAGACCTGCGCGAGCTGCGGTACAAATATTTATAAGAGCCATCTGGTTATGGCGCCAAGAACATCCGTGCGTGTCCGCGTTAAGACGCGCGTAAACACACACACACACACACAGACAGAGACAGAGAAGTTCGTCCGCCCGGGGCGTGGTTTGGAGCGTGTCACTCAAGCGGAGGAGTCAGCTGCTGGCACGAGTCTGGGCGGGGTGACGTGAGCGGCGCTCGAGCACAGGCAGCAGAAGTTCGTTATTAATACCAGGACTTCCTCCTGTCTGTTAGTCACCAGCCTACTGCTTCTACTCCCCGAGGCTCACAACGGGTTTACACGGATATTCCATCCTATCGAAATGAAACTGAACTTTTACGGTACAAAACAGAACTGTTGATTCAGGCGGACCCGTACCCTTCTTACCAGAGACTACGATGTGAAAAAAATGGAATTTGCAGGAGTTATTGGTGGATTTTAGTGGTTACTGAACGGCGGGACGTGGTCGGACCATACTTGGGTGGAGGAGCGGTTGGTCAACCATGCTGTGGCCAGGTTTAACACACTGGGTAGCGGCTGTGTTTCTCTGTCGGGTCGCCTCGGCGCAGTACTCCAGCGACCAGTGCAGCTGGAGAGGAAGGTAGGCTATAGGTTTATTATTGTATGTGTGTTATTCGACAGGTTTTATTTAGCCTTATAGGATTTAGGCTAAAAGCCAACACTTCTGTAGACTAGCTACAATCTCTTTTGGTTAAGGACTTTGAGTGTTAGATGTAGACTATGGCACTGTTGCTATCGAAACAGTAACCAATAGGTTCATACATTCAGTCCAACGGTAGATTTTCTGGAAACTCGTTTCCTCCCTGCCAGTCCAGATGTTGCGCAATAATGTCCTCAACAGCGAGGCCATAGCATATTTACATTTGCAGGTGCAAACAAGTTGAAGATGGTTTATCAAATCGAATAAACGGTTGGATAAATTAAGGCTAATGCATTTAATATTTTGTGCACTAAAACGTCCTACCCAGAGAGAGGGGGGTGTGGAGAGAGAGAGGTATGTGAACCACTTGTCTGTTGTTCATTAGGTAGATGTTCAGGAATTAACTCCAGAAATGATTTAATAGACTTCATTAAACCCGTGGAAATAAGAGGGGAGACGGTTTCAACACCCCCAGCCTCTGAGGGAAGGAGAGAGAGAGAGGAGGAAATAGAGTATAATACGATAAAGAGATATAAAAAAAAAAGGGATATAGATATGACTCCATGCAAAGGTGTGGGACTCTTAACTACCTTATACAATGAGATTGTGTTTATACATGTGTTATGTATTTTAGGGCTGATGGATTTGCATAGGGAATGTTTTGGTTTCTCCTCCTGTCCTGTGGCCTATAGCTATGTGAGCTCCAATTGGCGGCGCGCCATAATATTCTAAGAAAACACGATAACATATTTTGAACTGTTCCAGTGAAATATGCAAAATCTCTCCTCCTTCCCCAATACCTTAACCCCTTCTCTACCCTACTGCCCCCCTCTCTCCTCCTCCCTTTTACCCTCTCTCCTCCTTCCCCAATACCTTACCCTCTGTCTGAAAAACCATGCCCCCCGACTCCCTCCTGCCCTGTTGACCCCTCCCTGCAGGCTCCCAATACTAAAACCCCTGCTTACCCGACTGGCCCCTCTCGCTCCTCACCCTTTGACCCCTCCTCCTCCTTGCCCCAATACCTTAACTCCTTCTCTACCCTACGTCCCCCTCTCTCCTCTCCTTTTAAACCCTCTCTCTCCTTTCCCAACACCTTAACCCCTTCTACCCTACCGTCCCCCGCTCTCCTCCTACCCTTGGACATCTCTCCGCCTAATCCAATACCTTAACAAACCTTTCTAACCGTACCGTCAACCGATCCTGCCCCTTTTTACCCCATCTCCTCCATCACCAATACCTTAACAAGTTCCTAACCTAACCGTCCCCCTCTCCCCCAGTTGTACCGAAGCTCTCCATACCTTCTTCCAAATACCTTAATCATCTCACCCTACGCCCCCTCTCTCCTCCTCCCGTACCGCTCTCTCCTCTCCACCAATACTGAAACCCCTTCTTAAACCAAGGACCCCTCGCCCTCACCTTATTACCTCTCTCCTCCTCCCAATACCTAACCCTTCTCTACACTACCGTCCCCTCCTCCCTCCGCCCTTTTACCTCTCTCTCCTCCTTCCCCAATACCTTAACCCCTCTCTACCCTAACGTCCCCCTCCCTCCTGCCCATTTTACCACTCTCCTCTCCCCAATAAACTTAACCCCTTCTCTACCCTAACCGTCACCCTCTCTACCCCCCTCCTCCTTTTACCCTCTCTCCTCCTTCCCCAATACCTAACCCTTCTCCCCACCCTAACCGTCCCCCTCTCTCCTCCTCCCTTTACCCTCTCCATCCTTCCCCAATACCTTAACCCTTCTCTCCCCACCCTACCGTCCCCCTCTCTCTCCTCCCTTTAACCCCTCTCATCCTTCCCCAATAAACCTTAACACCCTTCTCTACCTACGTCTCCCTCTCTCTCTCCTCCCTTTTACCCTCTCCTCCTTCCCAATACCTTAACCCCTTCTCTACCCTACCGTCCCCCTCTCTCCTCCTCCCTTTTACCCTCTCTCCTCCTTCCCCAATACCTTAACCCCTTCTCTACCCTACCGTCCCCCTCTCTCCTCCTCCCTTTTACCCTCTCTCCTCCTTCCCCCATACCTTAACCCCTTCTCTACCCTACTGTCCCCCCTCTCCTCCTCCTCCCTTTTACCCTCTCATCCGTTCCCCAATACCTTAACCCCTTCTCTACCCTACTGTCCCCCTCTCTCCTCCTCCCTTTTACCCTCTCTCCTCCTTCCCCAATACCTTAACCCCTTCTCTAACCCACTTCTCCCTCTCTCCTCCTCCCTCTTCTTCTCTAACCCACTTCTCCCTCTCTCCTCCTCCCTCTCTCCCAGTGGTCTGACCCATGAGTCTCACTCCCGTGATGTGGAGCAGGTATACCTGCGTTGCTCCCAGGGCAGTCTAGAGTGGCTCTACCCTACAGGGGCCCTCATCGTCAACCTGCGGCCCAACACGGAGCCCTCGTCCGGGGCTTCCCCCGGCCTGCACGCCTGCATCAAGCCCCAGACAGACTCCCGCGGATCCCACCTCTACCTGGAGAGAGCTGGACAGCTCCGCCTGCTGATGTCCGAGAAAGAACAGGTAGATGGTCGGTTAGTCAGTCAATCAGTCGGTCTGTTGGTCAATTAGTCTGCCGGCCGGTCAATCATTTAGCCAGGCAGGCAGGCAGACAGCCAGACATCAGTCAGTTGGTCGGTCTGTCGGACGTTCGTTCAGTCAATCAGTCGGTCAGTCACATTTATTGATAAATCCCTTTTTACATCAGAAGTTGTCACAGATAATGTACAGTAACCTGGCTTAGAACAGCACAGAACATGTTACATAGGCAAAAAATGCATGCTTAAGTTTAACCACTGTAAATATAATTGTTACTATATTCATAAAGTACTTGTGTGAATATGATTATCTTAGTGTCATTACACCAGTACATGTATATATTTAAATTGTTTGATATATTTCCAGTCGCAGGGCAGGGTGCAGTGTTTCTCCCTGACAGAGGGGGCGCTGTTCATAGAGGCAGTGGGCCAGCAGGATATCAGCAGGAGGATCACAATCGTTCAGTATGAACTGGTGGCCAGCCACGGACCTGGAGCTCACCTTTACCCTCATCTCAACACTGGCACTGGTAAGAGACCAACACACACACACACATTCCATGGGTAGAACCCAGGCAGTAGAACCCGTTCACCAGATCAAGGGCTGTAGAAAGTAACATGACAGATGGACAAGAGAGGAAGAATGAACCACTGGTTCAACTGACCCCTAGACACATAGAAGAGGCCCTGTGTTGGCTGAAGAGGTAGAAAGGGGGGGAGGAAATGATGGGAGTTAAACAGAGTGACTGTCTAGCCCAATAAAGCAGTCTAGCTCAGACACACACATCCACAGACCTGCTGTCACTCAAGAGACAGACCAGACCAGACACTTCCTCTCTTTCTTGCTGTCCTTTATCCCTCTCTTCTTCTTTCAATTTTCTTTCCCTTTCTCATCTTCTTCCTCTGCCTCCTCCTCACTCTCCCTCCCTCCCTCCTTCTCTCTCTCTCTCTTGTCTCCCTCCTCTCTTGTCTCCCCCCCTCCCTCCCTCCCTGTCTCCCTCCCTCCCTGTCTCCCTCCCTCCTCTCTCTTGTCTCCCTCCCTCTCTGTCTCCCTCCCTGTCTCCCTCCCTCCTCTCTCTTGTCTCCCTCCCTCCCTGTCTCCCTCCCTGTCTCCCTCCCTGTCTCTTGTCTCCCTGTCTCCCTCCCTCCCCCCTCCTCTCTCTTGTTTCCCTCCCTGTCTTCCTCCCCTCCCTCCTCCTCTCGTCTCCCTCCCTCATCTATCTTGTCTCCCTCCCTCCCTCTCTCTTGTCCTCCCTCCCTCCTATCCCTCCTCTCTCTTGTCTCCCTCCCTCCTATCCCTCCTCTCTCTTGTCTCCCTCCTCCCCCTGTCCTCCCCCCTGCCTGTCTGTCTCCCTCCCCTCCCTCTCTTGTCTCCCTCCCCCGCCCTCCGTCTCTCTTGTCTCCCTGTCTCCCTCTCTCTTGTCTCCCTGTCTCCCTCTCTCTTGTCTCCCTGTCTCCCTCTCTCTGGTCTCCCTCCCTCCTCTCTCTGGTCTCCCTCCCTCCTCTCTCTGGTCTCCCTCCCTCCTCTCTCTGGTCCTCCCCCTCCTCCTCCTCTCTCTGGTCTCCCTCCCTTCCCTCCGCTCTCTGGTCTCCCTCCCCTCCTCTCTCTGGTCTCCCTCCCTCCTCTCTCTGGTCTCCCTCCCTCCTCTCTCTGGTCTCCCTCCCTCCTCTCTCTCGTCTCCATCCCTCCTCTCTCTCGTCTCTCTTGTCTCCCTCCTCTCTCTGTCTCCCACCCTCCCTGTCTCCCTCCCTCCTGCTCTCGTCTCTCTGTCCTCCCTTCCTCCCTCTCTTGTCTCCCTCCCTCCCCTGTCTCCCTCCCTCCCTGTCTCCCTCCTCCCTCCCTCCCTCCTCCTCTCTCTTGTCTCCCTCCCTCCTCTGCTCTTGTCTCCCCCTCCCTCCTCCTCTCGGCTCCCTCCCTCTTTCCCTCCCTCCTATCCCTCCTCTCTCTTGTCTCCCTCCCTCCCTCTTGTCTCCCTGGCTCCCGCTCTCTTGTCTCCCTCCCGCCTCTCCGCTCCCATCCCTCCTCCCTCTCTTGTCTCCCTCCCTCCCTGTCCTCCCTCCCTGCCTGTCTGTCTCCCTGCCCTCCCTCTCTCTGTCTCCCTGTCTCCCTCTCCTCTTGTCTCCCTTGTCTCCCGCTCTCTTGTCTCCCTCCCTCCTCCTCTGGTCTCCTCCCTCTCCCTCCTCTCTCTGTCTCCCTCCCTCTCCCCTCTCTCTCCTCTCTCTCCCTCCCGCCTCTCTCTCGTCTCCCCCTGTCTCCCTCCCTCCCCTCCTCTCTCCTCCCTCCCCTCTTCTCCCTCCCTCCCTCTCTCTCCCTCCCTCCTCTCTCTCTCCCCCTTCCTCCTCCTCTCTCTCTCTCCTCCCTCTTGTCTCCCTCCCTCCTCTCTCGTCTCCCTCCCTCCTCTCTCGTCTCCCGCTCTGACATATAAAAACAAGCAGGCTAATCAACAGGTCACGCTGGGGTCAAGCCCAGGGGTCAGCCAATCATCAGCCAGCTGTCAGTCAGGGGTGCCCGCTGCAAGGCATTGTGGGTAGCCCACCCGGGCAGGAGAAGATATGATTGGTCAGATGAGAGAGAGAGAGAGAGAGAGAAATCTGATTAGTACAGGTATGTGTGTGCCATAAAGTCATCCCCAGACAGAGAGAGAAACTGTTTAATAGTTGTTATACTGGCAGACAGGGTCAAAGGTTACCACCATTACCACCCTCTCTCCCACCTGTTGTTTCACTCTCACAAGGATGAGAAAATCCTTCATCTTGTACCCTCCCCCCATAGATAACCTCATCACCCCTCCCTCTCTCCCTCCTCCTCACCCCTCCCTCTCTCCCTCCTCATTCCTCCCTCTCTCCCTCCTCATTCCTCCCTCCCTCTCTCCCTCCCTCCTCCTCACCCCTCCTTCTCTCCCTCATCCTCACCCTTCTCTCCCTCACCCCTCCCTCTCTCCCTGCTCATTCCCCCTCTCGTCCTCCTCATTCCTCCCTCTCTCCCCTCCTCACCCCTTCTTCTCTCCCTCCTCCTCACCCCTTCTTCTCTCCCTCCTCCTCACCCATCCTTCTCTCCCCTCCTCCCTCACCCCTCCTTCTCCTTCCTCCTCCCACCCCTCCTTCTCTCCTCCTCCTCACCCCTCCTTCTCTACCTCCTCCTCACCCCCTCCCTTTCTCCCTCCCTCCTCATTCCTCCCTCCCTCTCTCCTTCCTCACCCCTCCCTCTCTCCCCCAAATAGAGCCCGGGGTAACAAGGAGGTGAGATAACCAGACTCTCCCCTTCATCTCCCCCTCATCACCCCCTATCTCAGGAAGGGAGGGATAGAGGGATGGATGGGGGAGGGAAAGAGGGTGAATCTGAGTGGAGAGATACAGGACTAACTGACTCAAACGCTCACTCTTCTTTATATGTGATGCTAGTGTTGTATACTGTATGGTGGTGTCTGTGGTGTATGGTGGTGTATGGTGGTGTATGGTGGTGTATGGTGGTGTCTGTGGTGTATGGTGGTGTATGGTGGTGTATGGTGGTGTATGGTGGTGTCTGTGGTGTATGGTGGTGTATGGTGGTGTATGGTACACAGTTTATGTCATGTGTCTCTCTCTCAGCCTCATGTACACCCTGCACAGATGACCAGGTCCTGATGGCGGTATGCACCAGCGACTTTGGTAAGCACACACCTACGTACCCACCACAACACACACACACGCACCACAACACACACACACACAGAACAATGGCCATCACCATCAATAAGTTTGCTGATGACACAACGGTGGTAGGCCTGATCACCAACTACGACGAGACAGCCTATAGGGAGGAGGTCAGCACGCCGCCATCCACATCGGCTGTAGTGGAGCAGGTCGAGAGAGCTTCAAGTTCCTCTGTGTCCACATCACTAAGGAATTAACATGGTCCACACACACCCACACAATCGTGAAGAGGGCATGACCACACCTCTTCCCCCTCAGGAGGCTGAAAAGATTTGGCATGGGCCCTCAAATCCTCAAAAGGTTATACAGCTGCACCATTGAGAGCTTCTTGACTGGCTGCATAACAGCTTGGTATGGCAACTGCTTGGCATCCGACCGTAAGGCTCTACAGAGGTTAGTGCGTACGGCGCAGTACATCACTGGGGCCGAGCTCCCTGCCATCCAGGACCTCTATACCAGGCGGTGTCAGAAGAAGGCCCTAAGACTGTTCTCTCTGCTACAGCACGGCAAGCGGTACAGATGCACCAAGTCTGGGACCAACAGGACCCTGAACAGCTTCTACCCCCAAGCCATAAGACTGCTGAACAAGACCGCTAAATAAATAGCTATCTGGACTATCTGCATTGGACTATCTGCATTGGACCTCCTTTGCACTAACTCTTTAGACTCATCACATACACTGCTCCTACTGTTTATTATCTATCCTGTTGCCTAGTCACTGTACCCCTACCTATATGTACATATCTACCTCAATTGCCTCGTAGCCCTGCACATAGACTCAGTACTGGTACCCTGTGTGAATAGCCAAGTTATCATTATTCATTGTGTATTTATTCCTTGTGTTATCTTTCTATTACTTATCTATTGTTCTCTCTGCGTTGTTTGGAAGGGCCCGTCAGTAAGCATTTCACTGTTAGTCTACACCTGTTGTTTACCAAGCATGTGAGGAATTTGATTGGATTTGATTTAGAACACATCCACAAACAGCACCTGCTGTAAAGGAAATGAACAACCCTTCTCATCGTTCTCTCTTCCCCGTATCTCTCTCCCCACCTCTGTGTCTCCCACTCTCTCCTCCCCCCTCTCTCCCTCTCCCTCTTTCTCTCCAGCGGGTCGCGGCAGTATCCGTGGCGTTGACACGCCCTCGTCATCAGACCACTCCTCCGTTGCCGTGACGCTGAGCCATCTGTTTCATCAGAAGAGCGGAGTGTTCTCTTGGGACGGAGCCAGAGGAAAGGGGTGGTCCGGACATCTGAACACGCCCCTGCAGTGCCGGCTGCAGCCAGGGGAGGAGGGGGAGTTCCTGTTCACAGGGGCGGTACGGTTCGGAGAGGCGTGGCTTGGCTGCTCCCAGCACTACCGCCACTTTCTGAAGCTCTACCGGACTGCCCTGGAGACAGGAAGTAATCCCTGTCACATGGACATGAACACAGACTGAGGCCCGTCCAGGAGACAACCAATCAGGGAACAGGTTTGGGAAACGAACTCAGCGAATCGGGGACGTAGAGAGAGGGAGGGCTGGGTCACTGACTGGACGATTGATCGGATTTACAGGGACCTGATCCAATCAGAGAGAGGAGGGAGGTCGTAAAGGGGCGGAATATTTTAAGTGACTGAGAGGTGATTGGACGTGGTCCCAAGCCCTGCTAGCCGATTTGGCTGAAGCTCTTACTGTTGCCTAGCAGCAAGGACCGTTGGACTGTATCTGAACAGTTCTAAAGCCAACTGTCGTCCTAGAATGTCTTAAGACCCTGCTGGTTTGTGCACATGTTTTGGAAATGGGTGTAAATATGATCATTCTTGTAATGAAAGTTTGCTTTGTGAAAAGCTTTATGTACAGTTTAGAGGTTGTCTTCTGACAGAAGTGTACAGTGGGTTCTGCACAGCGTGTGTGTGAACTAGCATGTGCACGCTAGTGAGGGTGTGAACGTGTGCGCACTAGCCTGTGAATGTGTGTGTGCACGCGTCTGTGTACGCTAGCGTGTGTGGTTCTGCACTAGCGTGTGTGAACGTGTGTGCGCTAGTGAGTGTGTGTTAAAGTACAGTAGCACTCTGGCTCTCTGTTCTAGGGAATAAACTCTCTTCCAGGAACAAGTATTTCGTTTACTGTGTCTAGATATGTCTGTGTCACATTGAATTTCTTGTGGGGAACAACAAAAGGTCCCCAGTTGGTCAAATTTGTGTTTGTTTACTATTCTTGTGGGGACTTCTGGTCCCCACAAGTATAGTTAAACATGTCCACACAGACACAGACACTCAGACACTCTCTGGGTTGTGAGTGTGTGTGTGTGTGTGTGTGTGTGTGTGTATGTGTGTGTATGTGTGTGTGTGTGTGTGTGTGTGTGTGTGTGTGTGTGTGTGTGTGTGTGTGTGTGTGTGTGTGTGTTGGACATGTGGAGAATCAGAGCTGAACACACGTGTGACTATCCTTACAGAGTTAAACCCAGTCAGCCTAGCCAGGGACAGTTGGATTTATTTGATTAATCTTTTATTGAACCAGAGAAGTCACATTGAGATGTACATCTCTTTTTCAAGTGAGCCCTGGTCAAGATAGCGGCATATATACACTATATATACAAAATTCAAATTAGAGGATTCGGCTATTTCAGCCACACCCGTTGCTGACAGGTGTATAAAATCGAGCACACAGCCATGCAATCTCCACAGACAAACATTGGCAGTAGAATGGCCTTACTGAAGAACTCAGTGACTTTCAACGTGGCACCGTTATAGGATGCCACCTTTCCAACAAGTCAGTTTGTAAAATGTCTGCCTTGCTAGAGCTGCCCCAGTCAACTGTAAGTGCTGTTATTGTGAAGTAGAAACTTCTAGGAGCAACAACAACTCAGCCATGAAGTGGTAGGCCACACAAGCTCACAGAACGGGACCGCCAAGTGCTGAAGCGTGAAGCGGGTAAAAATTGTCTGTCCTTGGTTGCAACATTTACTACTGAGTTCCAAACTGCTTCTGGAAGCAACGTCAGCACAATAACTGTTCGTCGGGAGCTTCATGAAATGGGTTTCCATGGCCGAGAAGCTGCACACAAGCCTAAGACCACCATGCGCAATGCCAAGCGTCGGCTGGTGTAAAGCTCACCGCCATTGGACTCTGGAGCAGTGGAAACACGTTCTCTGGAGTGATGAATCACGCTTCACCATCTGGCAGTCCGACAGACGAATCTGGGTTTGGTGGATGCCAGGAGAATGCTACCTGCCCCAATGCATAGTGCCAACTGTAAAGTTTGGTGGAGGAGGAATAATGGTCTGGGGCTGTTTTTCATGGTTCAGGCTAGGCCCCTTAGTTCCAGTGAAGGTACATCTTAACACTACAGCATACAATGACATTCTAAACGATTCTGTGCTTCCAACTTTGTGGCAACAGTTTGGGGAAGGCCCTTTCCTGTTTCAGCATGACAATGCCCCCGTGCACAAAGCAAGGTCCATACAGAAATGGTTTGTCGAGATCGGTGTGGAAGAACTTGACTGGCCTGCACAGATCCCTGCCCTCAACCCCATCGAACACCTTTGGGATGAATTGGAACGCTGACTGCGAGCCAGGCCTAATCGCCCAACATCAGTGCCCGACCTCACTAATGCTCTTGTGGCTGAATGGAAGCCCCGTAGTCCCGCAGCAATGTTCCAACATCTAGTGGAAAGCCTTCCCAGAAGAGTGGAGGCTGTTATAACAGCAAAGGGGGACCAACTCCATATTAATGCCCATGATTTTGGAATGAGATGTACGATGAGCAGGCGTCCACATACTTTTGGTCATGTAGTGTAGACTGTAGTTATACATACATGAGACACAACAAGACATATAACATAACCATGAATGGAAGTGCAACTAAAGACAGGGAGAGAAGAAGAAGAGAGTGAACTTAGTGTGTTTTAATAATAGGAGAGAAGAAGAGAGGAGGGTGAACTATAGTGTGTTTTAATGACAGGAGAGAAGAAGAGAGGAGGGGAACTCTAGTTGTGTTTTAATAATAGGAGGGAAGAGGAGGGGGTAAATTTGTGTTTTTTAATTAAAGAAAGGGGGGGGGTGAACTTTTAAATGGGGTTTTTTAATGCAGGAGAGAAGGAAAGGGGGGGTGAACTTATAAAATAATGCCCCTTTTTGCGACGCTTTTATCCAAAGCGACTTCAGTCAGGGCATACTTTTTTTGTGTAGGGTGGTCCCGGGGATCGAACCCAACCTTCGTTAAAAAGCGCCGGTTACCCCTGACTACAGAGGACAACTTACAGTTTGTTTTAACGATAGGAGAGAAGAAAAAAGGGGGGGTGAATTTTTGTGTTTTTAATGAAGGGGAGAAAAGAGGGGGGTGACTTTTGTGTGTTTTATGTTCGGAGAAGGGGAGGGTGAATTTGTGTGTTTTAATGACAGGAAGAGAAAGAGGGGGTGAACTTATATGTTTTTTTAATGACGGGAGAAAAGAGGGGGGGTGAACTTTTGTGTGTTTAATGACGGAGGGAAAAAAGGGGGGTGACCTTTGTGGTTTTAATGCGGGAGGGAAAGTAGGGGGGTTAACCCATATGTGTTTTTTTGCGGGGAAGGGGGGGGGTGCTTGTGTTTTTGAAGGAAAAGAAGAGAAGGGGGGTGAACTTTTGTGTGTTTTAATGGGGAAAGAAAAGAGGAGGGTGAAATTTGTGGGGTTTTTTGACAGGAGAAAGAGAGGGGGTAAATTATAAAAAAGCCCTTTTGCAACGCTTTTATCCCAAAGCGATTTCAGTTGCGTGCATACATTTTTGTGTAGGGGGCCCCGGGCGACCCCACCTTAGCGTTCAAGCGCCCTGCTCTACCAGCTGAGCTACAGAGGACAAACGTTCGTTTTAAAAAGGAGAGAAAGAAGAGAGAGGGGGTGAATTATGGTTTTTTAATGCCCGGGGAAAAAAAGAGGGGAGGGTTAATTTATGTTGTTTTAATGATAGGGAAAAAAGAAGAGAGGAGGGGAAAATTTGTTGTTTAATGCGGAGAGAAAAAAGGGGGGGGTGAACTTTGTGGGACAGGGAAGAAGAAGAGAGGAGGGGTGTGAAACTAGTAGTGTGTTTTCATGATGAGGAGGAGAAGAGATGGGGGGTGAAACTTATAGGGTGTTTTAACGATAGGAGAGAAGAAAGAGGAGGAGGGTGAACTTTTGTGTGTTTTAATGACAGGAGAGAGAAAGAAGAGGGTGAACTTATAGTGTGTTTTAATGATAGGAGAGAAGAAGAGAGGAGGGGTGAACTTATAGTGTGTTTTAATGACAGGAGAGAAGAAGAGAGGAGGGTGAACTTATAGTGTGTTTTAATGACAGGAGAGAAGAAGAGAGGAGGGTGAAACTATAGTGTGTTTTAATGACAGGAGAGAAGAAGAGAGGAGGGTGAACTATAGTGTGTTTTAATGACAGGAGAGAAGAAGAGAGGAGGGTGAACTTATAGTGTGTTTTAATGACAGGAGAGAAGAAGAGAGGAGGGTGAACTTATAGTGTGTTTTTAATGACAGGAGAGAAGAGAGGATGGTGAATTTAGGACTTAACTTATTTGGAAAGAGACGTAGAAGTAGAGAAATGCTTGTCGATTCAGCTTGTGTGTGTGTGTGTGTGTGTCTGGTGTTTGTGAGTGAGAGAGAGTGTGTGTGTGTCTGGTGTGTGTGTGAATCTGTGTGTCTGAAGACGTGCTCTGAATTCCTCCGAGGTTTAAGACGGGCTCCAACGACCTTAGAAGGCTGTCTATATATAACCCCCCTTTAAACACACACACACCATTCTTGACCTCTCTAACACCCCATCCCCCATCCACATAACATCTAATCACTGATCATCTAACACTTTCTCTCCTCCTGTTCTTCTGCCTCAAGAAAACTATCTCTCCCTTTCTCATGGAGGGACTGTAGAGAGAGAGGGAGAGGATATGGAGAGACCCTGGATGATTTGATAGTTGTAGCCCTGGTTCTCTTCTGTCGAGAGAGAGAGTGTGTGTTTGTTTTGGGCTGTAGCCTGAGAAGGCCACACGCGTCCTGCGCACCGCCGACATGCAAACAGGCTACACAGCAGAAACACAACCCGCCCTAGCAACACCCAACACCCCTCGGCAACCCCTTCCCGGCAACAATCCAACTGCCCTTGGCACCCCCTCTAATTCAGGAGACACACTTGCTATCTACACAAGACATTAACTCTGCAACCCACACACACACAGACACCGACGTTCAATGGTGTCTGTCTGCTTTATATAGCAAGCCCTGGCCACGTGACTCACTGTCTGTAGGAGCGATCCATTTTGGTGAATGGGGTGGTGTACCTAATAAACTGGCTGGTAAGTGGTGTTCCTAATAAACTGGCTGGTGAGTGGTGTTCCTAATAAACTGACCGGTGAACCTAATAAACTGTGTAGCTCTGTGTGTGCCTGCATGGAAACAGTTCAGGGTGCAGTATGTGAGAGGGACAGCTGAGCAGTCAGTTGGAGAGTATAGAATGGCTGAGCTCAGGGAAACTGGACACACACACACACACACACACACTTTCTAACTCAAACACATGTACACACTTGCATGCACCAGAGGTGTGGACTTAAGTCACATGACTTGGACTCGAGTCTGACTCTAGTCATAAATTTGATGACTTGACACTTGACTTGTACTTGGAGCCTCAAGACTCGGGACTCGACTTTGACTTGGACTGATGATTTGAAATTATGTGGCCAGGTTTTGTAACGTTTTGTCACTCATTTTGTGGCACAGAGTGTCCGTGGATTACTCCAAGCAGCCAGAAACAGTTTCGCACTTGCAAAAAAAGTGATTGGCTAGTGAAACGCACACTCGACCCTCTGATTGGACCAGCAAACTGTCAATAAAAACAGGTCGGATGAGTTTGCGCAGTGAGAAGGTTTTGGTGGGTTGAAAGTGAAAGGTAATTTTTTTCTTCCTATTTTAATAGTCTACATATGGCCTACTATTTGTATATTATATTATACCTTTGCTTATTCGATCTGGTCACTAACATAGGCCTACGGCATTGCACCAAATTATTTTTCAAAAACATCTAATCTGTGTTTCAGAACCAAAGAGTTGTGCGTCTTCACTGTTGACCAATGACCCGGACATCAGCATTGGCGCGCAAAGGCGGGCGCACGCACCAGATTAGAGACCAGAAAGCGCTTGTTTAATTTACTCCGGTTTTGCCTGGCAAAAACAGAGTAGCCTACCTATGTATAAAGTACATATAAAT